AAGAGATTTTTATCTTCTTAGAGTGACACCGAAAACCTTTCGACTTAGACCCAAACGAAATTCATTTAGTCGATACATGTATTACACCCGAAGTGAACTCAAGTGAGTCAGGAATAACCCCTAACAGGTATTCTAAACGTATCAACTTCCTGGAGTTGTTCAGACAAAGTCTGAATGACCTAAAAAACATATATCTTACTCAATATCATATCCTAACCAAGTAATAATCCATGTCGCAACCCTTTTTTTTTCCATATAAGTCCTTGAAGAGCGCACTTGATCAAAACAGGCCTCCCTGTCGCAAGCAACTCTTTCAAATAACAAAGGAGACAAACTCCTTACTTTTAGAAGAGAACACTGATCAAGACGGTTACCCTGCCGCATATGAACTCTTCTCTCTCTAAATTTGAGAACAAACGCTGATCAAGATAGGTTTCCCTGCCACAGACGAAATGCTCTCAATTAATCTCGACAGATTGCTCTGCCGCAGATATACCCTTCAAAGATCGAAGGAGAACTCTGATCAAGACAGGTTTCCCTGCCGCAGATTGACTCCTCCCTACATAAAGTTGAGAGCAGAATGCTGATCAAGACAGGTTTCTCTGCCGCAGACGAACTACCTTCAATTAATATTTGAAAATAAATCTGATCAAGACAGATTGCTCTGCCGCAAATATACCTTTCAAAGACCGAAGGATAACTCTGATCAAGACAGGTTTCCCTATCGCAGAAGGACTTCTCTTCATTCCATCTTTGAAGAGAAGGCTGTTCCATCTTTGAAGAGAAGGCTGATCAGGATGGGTTGCCCCATCGCAGGCCTACTCTTCATATTTCATATAATGACCCAAATGAAGGAGAACGTTGCTTAAGACAGGTTGCCCTGTCACTCACGAGCTCCTTTATTGATTTAAGCTGCGACATAAAATTACTATAATGAAATTTACTATACTTCATACCATGTGAAATGTTATCGATCTTTCTGTGATATGCGTCGAGGAGTGGTGTAATCCTTCGCAAGGGATAGCATCTCGACATCAAGCCCCGCTTTAGTTTCGAGCCTCACCACATTCCCTCCGATTCCGGTGCTTCAAATAGTCAACAATTTATCAGTACGAACATAATAGTCCAACCCTTACTAAGTTCGATGTGAGCTACCAACTCACCTTCTTTTCCAGCAAGGCGGACCCGATAAAATCAATCGAGCTTGGGTGGTAAATCCAAACCCAACGTTCTTAGCGGTAACTACCCTGGCTACCATCAAAACTGATGAGCACCTTCAACACCTTCATCCCTTTAAGTGATAGTGTAATCTTCCTTCCTTAAACGACAAAGCATCCGGATGACAACATCCCACTATGGACCAGGAGTATAACTCCGATGCAGGCCTCACCATCACTTACAGAGCTCACAACTTCATCGCAAAAACATTATGACATGATAACAAAGACGACCTCAAAACTTATAATATTAAAATATATAATTCAAATGCATGTCTTATGGATAAAGAATACACATCTTAAATCACGTTCATAAGACAAACACGTCACCATCCCGACCAAGAGTCAGGTTGATCTAAAGAAAATATCACACATTTTTGCACTTGTCCACGATGGTAAATATAACAACAAAATGTAACAATTTGCATAATAATTCAGGACGCAAATAAAAAGATCTCATTAAACAAAACAACTTAAATCAAGATATTTATAGAACAATCTCACCAAATCTAATTTATGAAAGAACGAAAATATAAAAGTTATGATCCCTCATAAATTATAAAGTTTTGTAAAAATCGAAAAAAATTAACGACTTATTTTTTTGTCGACTTTCGATCCCTTATACCGACTGAAAGTATGTTCGACTCCACCACATGTTTTACACACAATGTGTTTCCAATATTCTCTCCCTCTCTTTGCTCGTTGCTCTTGCCGATCTCGAGACACTAACTTGCAACACTCCTCCTTCTTAACAGTTGGCATTGAGAGGTCATTGAAACAAATTTTCATATTCTGTTTGCTTATAACATATCGATCCATCATTGATTGTTCGCTTCCTTGCTTTTCTTGCTGACGCTCGAGGCGTAAGTCTTTCTGAATGTTTTTCATAATGTCCCGAACTTCTGAGAGCATTGAAATGAGAGTTGAGTCTCTCTTTCTTTTATTATATCGGCATTCCCCCCAAGACTGTAGCAAGCGAAGTTGCAGACGAAGGACACGATCAAAGTTCCCGTTATTGAACTTTGAACGAATCCTCGCCCAATATGACTCGCCGGTTGCCCCATAGATAAGCTCCTGCTGCTCTGCCTCATCAAATTTTGCGAGGAAAGTAAGACATTTTTGTTTATCCGTTAAACCCTGTATCCGACGAGTGATCCTTTCATAGTCAAAAAAAGACTTTTCTTCTACTACGTACACATCCCGCTTGATATTCTTCAAATCCTCTAATGTTATCAATTTATCTCTGAGTCAAAACTTCTCTAACATGGCGTGATGCTTCGGCTACTTTCCGGACTACATCTACAAGATCTTTTTCAATATACCTCAGAACTCGTTGCAATATTTTACGATCATCCCATTTATTGACGGATGCAAGTTGCTCAAATTTCTTCAGAAAAATCGAAACAAAGTTGTCATAAAAAAGAGGGATTTCTATTTTTGGTAAACTTTCTCTCTCTGCATCTCTCTGCTCTAGAAGATTAACTATCATTTGGAGATTCGATATATCTCTATCTTGATGGTCACCTTCGCTTCCACTTGCTGCTTTCATTTCTTCTGACCATAACAGACAACCAGACAGAATGTCAGTCTATCTCTATACAATCTAATTTGATTTCATAATCCTACTCCACATTCACTCAAATATTGTATCTCTGATACTCCTCTTATCCCCTTCAGAATAATTCAATAAAATATCCGAGTGTCGTTCCGCTAGGGACAACGGTAGTTTGCCGTTATCCCCAGCAACGGCGCCACCTGTCGAGCGCATCGGCCCCGCCTTTTTGCAAAGCGTGGGAACCCTCCCGGCTATGTCACGCAGGAGATAAACGAAACAAAACCAGAGACATTTTAGGAACGACGCAACACACCCCACGAGCCGCCGAGACGGTCGGGATCACGTCGTTCCGTCGCCTCTCTAGCCAGGTGCGCCAGCTGTACATCCCGCGGTCCCCTACGACAGGATAGGTTTCCGCGAGGCATAAACTTTCCTTCCCTAAGGGACTGTCACCACCCCTAGGGGTGTATCCCTACCGAGCTACTGACCCACGTGCAAAAGCTTTTAGATGCAATTGCACAAGTAGGTCAGCCGAGGGCGTTTGCTCGTTCGCTGTAGTATACGGTTCACCTTGACTGAAGTTGTAGAATACGGTTCACTCAAGAAAACCATATAGAACCATGCCCCACATGAAAAAGGTCGTCACTACAAAACGTCAGCAAGTGATCCACCTTAATGCACAATCACCCCCATATAGTCTGACGACGTCCCAACTTCACCGTCACATGCCACCAGCGTCACCACGTCACCATCACTAATGCCAATGCGTTGCCGCCTCGTTACGCGAACGGCACAACGTCCGCACCACCTCAAAACACACCACCAATTCGGTGGCACCCCCCCTTGCGTCAATGCCTCGCTGCCGCGTCGAGCAGACAACATAACACCAGCACCATCAAAGAAAGAACCACCGCCGCCGTAAAAACAGACTGCATTTTTGCGCCAACACCCAAGATTTCTGCTGCCCGCCTCGTCAAACAGACAACACCTTCGCACCGTCGTAAAAATCAATGTCAATCGCTGTATAAACGGACGACGCTTCCGCACCGTCACAAAAAAAACACTGCCGCGCGTCGTCAAATGGTTAGCAACTCCCCTGCGCCGCTACCAAAAATGTCTGCAGCTGCCGAAAAAGTCGCGCAACATCACCCCAACACCTCATGAAGAATGGTTACCGATGTCGTGTTTGAACGGACAACACCTCCCCTGCGTTGTTGTCTACGGCCGCGACTATGGCAACAGCAACACCTCCCTTACACTTCACCAAGTAAAGTGGTGGCTATGGCAGCCCCCACTCCAACGCTCTCCGCAGACCTCCAACGCTCCTCCCCTTCACTGAGATGGTGGTTATGGATGTACTTCATAGCTGCGGCCACCTCCAACAGTCTCTCCGCTTTCTCTTGCAGATCTCCACCCAGCTCCCTCTCTCTCTCTCCAGCCGCAACCCTTTCCCAGCAGTCAGCAATCACACAAGTAAGTTGCTAGCTGCATCAACCACAAATGAATGCTGGTTGGCTGGCTGCTGACTGCTTTTATAGCGAGCTGAGGGCCTCAACTGCCTTGCCCCCAGCCAAAAATTCGGAGTTGGGCTCAACCCTTAATCAAAAACAAGATCAAGGGTTGAAATCCTTGATGTTCCCTGCCCCAACGATGCACCCGGCTATCACCCCTGGCCAGGCTCAACTCAAAATGGTTGTACAAAGCCATTTTCAATAGACTGTTGAACCCAATAGCTGTTGTCACTTCAAGGTCCAGATGCTTCTCTGCCCTGCATCTGGATCGAGGTTGCGAACAGATTCGCGACCTTTTCTCTTTTGTCTTTTTTTTTTTTTTTTCAGCTGCAACTCTGTCTCTTATACACATCTAGATGTGTATAAGAGACAGCACACACACACACACACACACACACACACAGACTCGCGCACACAGAGTCGGGGCTCAATCTCCTGATGAGTCTGTGAAAGTACAACGAAACATTCTCGCACAGTCACACCTTTTTTTTCTGGAGTTGTGTATAGGTAACAAGAGTACACACACGCACACACACACACACACACACACACACACACACACACACACACACACACACACACACAACGAGGGACAGAAAAAGAATGCTGGATGAAGATGCACCAATATTGATGCCTGGCAGCTTGCTGCTGTAAAATTATTCCAAGACGTCTGAATGATAGGAGGTGAGGTGAAGTTGCGCCTCGAACCGAATGCATATTACAACATCTAATTTGTTGAGAGTAACAAAAGCAGTGAATTTGTCCCTGTACAATGTTAATGCAGTTTGTCCCTGTATTTTGGGGATCCTTCCAGTACCTTTCCCCTGATAGGACCATAGCTCTGGATACCTTCCACTCTTTGCAGTCTACCCACCATGGCCACGACGAGGCCCTCTCACAGGCAATCAATTTGTCAAGCCTGCCCTACATGCCCCACATAAGTATGGACCTCTGGGCGTTATGGTTACTGAAACTCAACACATGATCTCAATACAAGACCTTTAACTATCTCTGCTACGCTGTGCCTACTTTCGACGCACAGCTTCAACGCCTAGCAGAGCACGACTGCAACGACCTAGTCTTCACGGTCAATCCCTAGATAACCCAAGTTCACTGATATCCGCTCTACCACCTTGTAAGAAAGAAAACCTGAGGACATAAAGAAGCCGCATGGTCGACAGAAGGCTGGGTAAGACTGCAATTTAATTCAACCGTCGGTGTGATGACGCACTGTGATCCGCTCCAACTTGAAAAAAACACAAACGTGGGTGTCTGGGAAGTGGACAAAGGAGAGCACCCCGGACTCTGGTCAGGGCATGCATGCTGCCAGCCACTTAGAAAAAATGGCAAACCAAACCAGTTAGCGACTGGTTTTCCCGACTTCGTTTGATAAGCAGCAACTGCAGCGTCATTCTGCCTCAGAAGACGAGTTCAGACCAGCCAGGCTTCGCATTGAGCCAACCCCACGCAGGGTCACATGGCGATGGCTGGAACATCTGAGAAGACGATGGCTGGAACATCTGAGAAGACAGAGATGGCAGACAAGCAAAGGCAGTTTCAGTGTAGAAGGCAGGAGCAAAAAAAAAAGCCGTTGAGGGTAACCAACTATGAGATGAAACATCTCCTCGATGTAGCAACAAGCTCCCGACATGAACCATACGAACGATGGTCCCCGGACTTTCAATAAAGAACAGACCAAAGAATCTGCCCACTCCTCCCTCGGACTTTCGTGCACCCTTAGGCATGACACCCATCCCGCCCTATTTGCTCCACTTTCCTTCGACTCCTAACGCTCAGTCAGATAGGATAATTAAAGCAGCAAAGACAAAGTGTCGCTATAGAAGCAATCATTCATTCAACAGTTCACAGAGGTTTGCAGTGGCAGCATGAACTCTACCATGATTGGCTGCAGAGAAAAGTCCCGCGGGGCCATTGTGTCATCACCCATTTCCCGAAACAGCAAATAAGAAAATACGGCCAAAGAGATGGAACACTTGTATGCTTGGACGTCAAGTCCAAACGCATACAAAACCTTATGATACACCTGCCAAACCTTTGCCTTGTCTCACTGTTCAGAAGAAGAGCACTCCCGTTGACTTAACTACTCCAACAGATGCCACACATTACGTGTCAATAACTGGGGTTTCCCCCCATCCCAAGCCACCCATTTCATTTTCGACAAATTTCACCTTTAAGAAGCACCACCTACAGCTCTTCATCCATATCCCGATCGACCTCAAGCAGCGACGCTTATCCCAGCCCCAGCCTTCTCTGTACCCCCCATCAGCACCACATTCCGTCAATCTGGCCACCGATATTCTTCACCAAAGGGTCATTCGACGCCCTCACCTTCCTCGGATCGTCTCTGCATCGTATCGACCTCAAGCGGCGACGCTTATCCCAGCCCCAGCCTTCTCTGTACCCCATCAGCACCACATTCCGTCAATCTGTCCCCCCATGTTCTTCACCAAGGGTCATTCAATGCCCTCACCTTCCTCGGATCGTCTCTGCATCGTATTGTATTCTTCCATCGAAGTACGATGATGGGGATACTTTCAGGGCCACGAAAGCCGCAAGCTTTTGGTCGATCCACATGACAGCCAGCCGTGCAGTCCAGTCGACGGCTTACATATCACTTTCTCTCCCAGTGAGTGAGTAGACAGCCATCTTCTGGCTTCTCCTGCAACAAAACCAAATCAATGTTGTCGGGTCCAGGATTCTCGAAGCACATCCCTCTCGCCCACCAGCCAAGCATGGGTCCCTTCTTGTATACCGCAGATCAGTGGCATCACCCATCAGAGCAGAACAAATAGAAACACAACCAGGAGAAGTCTCTTAGGGCTACGCTCTGGCACAAGAAGCTAACAATGCCTTCTTCTCATTCATCATCTGAACGTCTGTCCTGCAAAAAACAAGCCATGAGCAATGACCACGAGGAACCAGCACAATCACCACCGCCTTTCTTGCCTCAACCCTACCTCAATTTCTCCCCTTCATCCCCCCTTACCCCTTCCCCCC